AAAATCTGGACTGTAAAAAATTTAAATAAAAATTTTAAAAATCAGACAAATTTAATATAAAGCTATCAATTTGTCACAAAAAGTAAAGTATAATTTACGAGAAGTTCTAGGCATTCTGAGACTGTGGAAGATTCCTCCAGGAAGTAAACTTTAGATTGCAATGATTCTCAGCTGATGAAATCACTGGGCAAGTGCTGTACTGTACTGAATGGAAGGGTATTGTGCACTTATCTCTGGGAGGAAAATGGAATTACCATCTTAAGCGCTTCTTCCCCTAAGGGGAACAATACAAAAGAGAACAAGAAAAAGTCATGAAAGGTGATGGACTTATTTATGACTGTGTTTATAAGCATGATTTCAGAGGTACAAGTATATGTTCCAATTGATAAATTATATACTTTAAATATGGGCATCTTTGGTACATTAATTATATCTCTTAGAAACCACAAAGTATCCTTGTTCTTCAATCAAGGAAAAGCAAGTACAGTACTGTAAGTAAAGGTGTTGATTATCAACCAACTGTAAAGGTTTTAGGAGGGGAGAAGCCTGGAGCCACAGGCCAGCCACTGAAGTGGAGACCAAGCAGGCTGTAGAAGGTTCTCTGGCTTTAAGAAGACAGCATGGTCAATGTCTGGCCTTAATTTCTGAGAAAGCAGAGAGCTGTTTACAAAGCTGTTACAGGTGCCTATACATTGCAGTGCCCTCCTTCTAGCCAGTCAGGGAGTTGCATGTTTTACATTGCTGTCTTTGATCTACTAAAGTTTTTATGCAGAGAGCTAAAGCTCACTTCATCCTCCTTTAAACAACTGTCTACTTTACCCACAACTGTTCATTAAAGGTGCTGTCTTTTCTCCAGCATGTAATTTTGGAGTCACTTTTAAAATTCAGGTGGTTGTAAAACACACTTAAATCTGGATCTTCTATTATATCTCATTGATCGACATTTCTGCTTTTATGTCAGTACCACACGTTAGTTAGTTAGTTAGTTAGTTAGTTAGTTAGTTAGTTAGTTAGTTAATGAGTCAGTTAGTTATTTTCACTAGGTATAACTTGAGATCAAGTATAGTAATACCTTATTTTCTTGGATCCAGATAATTTTGATTGTCTGAATTCTTTATGATCCCATATAATTTTTAAGATAAATTTTTGACTTCTATGAATCCAAAAAGATTTTGTTTAGAAAGTATACAGTCAACAGAATGAAGAGGCAGCCTACAAATGGGAGAAAAATCTTAGCAAACTATAAATCCAACAAAAGATTAATATCCAGAATGAACAGAGAACTAAAAATACAACATACCAAGAAAAACAAAATTCCATCCAAAAGAAGAGGCTTTTATATGAACATAAAGTTCACAGAAGAAATAAAAGTGCCAAATAGCCATCCAGGGAAGAGAAATCTCCTTGAGAATTTCCTTCTTTTTCCTTTCCAAGTAAAAATGAATCATCCATGAGGTCTGCTGTTAGAGGTTCTAATCCAGATGCTGGCCTCTGAACTTATACTACTCAGACCTTCGATGGGCCATTGACAAGAACATCAAACAGCTAGAGGCTGACATCACTAATCTGAAGAAATCCCTCATTTCACTGTCTGAAGAAACCTCCAAAAATTGCAAAGGAATTTATTGGACTTGATTTACTCTTTTACAATAGAAGAGAGTGTGTACAGCTCTTGACTGTGTACAGCCCTTAAAGAAGAATGTTGCCTTTACATAGACAAGACAGGGATGGTTAAAGAGAGCATGAAACAAGTCAGAGAAGGTCCTGAGAAAAGACAGAGAGAGAAAGAGAAAGATGAGTGCCAGTAAAAGAATTGGTTTTCAACCTTTCCATGGTTGTCAACCTTGCTTCCTCCCATCTTGGGACCATTAATTGGGTTATTTTTGCTTATTTCTTTTGGTCCCTGGGCCTTAAATAGACTGACTAACTTTGTAAAACAACAGATAAATGATTTGGTAGCAAAACCTATTCAGATACATTATCATAAGGTAGATATGGAGGACCATGAGACTCAAGATGAGGTTGTTATTTTATCCATGGTGTTTCCAAAACCCATCTCCACCCAACCTAAAGGGGGGACTTCTGCCCCTAGACCAAGCAGAGAGGGGCCACCCAGAACCCCCTCTGACTGGCAATGTGAATTCTTGCTTAGTCTGCAAGGTTAAGCACTACAAGGGAATATAAATAAAAGATAAAAATATCTCTCTGGGTTCTCTGAGGGATAAGCCTGACTGCATAGGGGTTGATGTCAAAAGTATCCCCTCTCCAGGAAAAAGACATCAGAATGGGTATGGCCCTCATGCCTCACTGGACAACAACAGGGGGACCGGAGCCATTACAAGGTCCCTTTCAATTATTGGAGGTCAGGCCTCTATCCCCGCCTTCGCAAGTTTAGAATTGCCACAGCCCTTCTATACTTAGAGAAGGGAGGAGATGTCAGGGGCAGCCCTGCTTATACACAGAAGGCCTAACATCAGACATAGGCTTAAAATCAGCAATAGGCCTGTCATACATGTATACTAACACCAAGTCTTGGGTCTCTGTGGAAAAACATTGAAATAGATGGCTATAAGCTATTATAAACAGGCAGCTTTTGTGAAAATTTACCAGCCTGAGTAGTCATAGACCTTGTAAATAGGTAGCCTTGGTGAATAACACCAACTTAGATAAGGACAAGTGAATCATAGGCAGAGTCATAGTGACCTGTCCCCTGAACCTCACCCAGCCGGTACCCTGTTCTGAAAGATATCTGTATTCCCCCTGAACACCCACGCTCCAGTGTCATTCCCTTCCCCACGTCCTGCCTTTGTGCATTTATAACCCCTGTGTGAATAAGTAAAAATTACGATTTGATTTTAAAAATAAATAAATAAATAAATGTGCATGGTATCTGGGCTGTCAATTAAAAAAAAGAAATATGGATGCACACAGAGCAGGGAAGAGAAATATGGATGCACACAGAGCAGGGAAGAGAAATATGGATGCACACAGAGCAGGGAAGGGAAATGTGGATGTAGATGGAGCAAGACAAGTGATATAGTCTAGGCTACCAGGTGGACACTGACTCAGCACACACATGTGTGAGGTGATGCCTGAGCTGTCGTTTCACGGGACATGTGAAGGGGACAATGTGTACATGGGCGTTACATCCTGAGATGAATTGGAAGATGAAGAGACAGGCAGAAGAGAACATGGCTAGACTTGAAAGTTGGGGTAATTATTTTTTGTTGCCTACTTACCAACCAATCACCAAGCTGTTTTCTCTTAATGATTTCTCTTTCTGAAAGCACCAGCTATTCATTTTCCAAATGACTTTATGGCTAGAGATGGTTCTGTGGCCCAGTCCTGACCAGTGGTTTATATATAAAAGGGATTTACCAGAGGGATGGCTGAGATATTTTCTTCCAGGAGGCAGACGCACACAAGATGCCCATGGAGACAGTCTACGATTTCAGTCTGCTTGCTGTACTTATGTGGAGATGTAGCCTTGAATTCACCTCATGACAGTGAATAGAGGCACCACCAGTGCTGTGGCAATGGAGCCCTAGGTGACATAACAGGATTGTTGAACTACCCAAGTCCACCTGTCTTTGGATCTCTTGTAATGGAAGAAAATACAAGCGTTATGGCCTATATATCACTCTTTATTCTGTTATTTATATTCTCTCTCTCTCTCCCTCACTCTCTCCCCCCTCCCTCCCTCCCCCCCCTCTCCCTCCCCCTCTCTCCCCCTCCCCCTCCCCCTCACCCTCTCTTTTTATCTATACACTAAAAACATTCACATTCTATAGTGAACTGATTAGTTTCTGTCAGCTTGACACAAACCTAGGCTACCTTGGAAAGTGAACCACCAGGAAACCACCTCCATCTACGGGACATTTTCTCTGAGTAGCCAGAGAGAGCAAGCCAGTAAGAAGCATCCCTGTGGTTCCTGACTAAAATTCCTGCCTTGAGCTCCTGCCCCGTCTTCTTTCAGTGATGGATATTTAGCTAGAAGTATAAGATAAAATAAATCGTTGCCTTCCAAAATTAAAAAGAAGTGCCAAATAGCATTTTTTTTAAGCGTTAAAATCATTGGTCATCAGGAAAAATCAAATTAAAACTACTTTGAGATTCCATCTCACATCAGGTTGAAGGACTGACCATCATAAAGAACGTAAGTGATAACAAATGCTGAAGTAGATGAGGCAAAAAGGAAGTTTGTTCAGTGTTGACATAAGGGTAAGCTGGCACAGTCCCTAGAGAGATCACTGTAGGTGTGGTGGTTTCCCAGAAGTTAATTACAATATGACATAGCTATATCACTCCTGGGCAAATGTCCAAAGGATTCTACATCGTATTACATAGATACTTGCTCACCATCGTTAGAGTTGTGTGTTTAACTTGGAGTTCCTAAAACAGCCTGGAAACCTGAGATTATTAGTGCAATTGATGCCCTATAGGAAGAGATTAGCACATAAGCGTAGTTGAGGTGGGGAATTCTTGGGATGTTTAAGCAAGGATAGGGTGAGTGGCTTTGATGCACATAAGGACACTTTATCAACAAAACCACCTGCCAGTCCTCCAAGATTTATCTTACATATTTTAAAGGACATTATAATTCAATTACTGAATTTCAGAATGCTATTAATTAATGATGACAATGACATAAAGGAGTCGATACTTATTGAATAAATTATTTTATTTAGAAACTGTAATTTTTCTACATTCATGTATTCAAACTGGAGATTTCTTCTGTGACTCTGAAGATAACTGCAGCACAGGCTCAAAGAGACAGTGGTAAGGATTTATACTCCAAAACTCAGTTAAACAAAATCCATCTTCCACCGCGTGCTGAAGTATTAGGTCTACCAAGTACAAACACACACTGTGACATGCTTTCAGGGGTCCGCATACAGTGGTCAGGCACTTCTTGGCCTTGAAGTAAATGGACAAAGGTTCCTGCTGGACTTGAGCTTGTAGTACTTATTCCCAGGGTGAAGGGGGAATTGCAGAAAACACTAGCAGCAAGAAGAACGGCATTTTCTGTAGCAAAGTGGTCTATAGCTACAGCATCCAGAGCCATATCCACAGCCATACCTGGAACCATATCCACATGACCCCGAGCTATATCTACAGCCATATCCATAGCCAGAGTCAGAGCCACAGCCAGAGCCAGAGCCATATCCACAACCATAGCCAGAGCCACAGCCATAGCCACAGCCACAGCTAGAGCCAGAGCCGTATCCACAGCCATATCTACAGCCAGAGCCAGAGCCATATCCACAGCCAGAGCCACAGCCAGAGCCATAGCCACAGCCAGAGCCACAGCCAGAGCCACAGCCAGAGCCACAGCCAGAGCCACAGCCAGAGCCACAGCCAGAGCTACAGCCATAGCCAGAGCCATATCCACAGCCATAGCCAGAGCCGTATCCACAGCCATATCTACAGCCATAGCCAGAGCCATATCCACAGCCAGAGCCAGAGCCAGACCCACAGCCAGAGCTACAGCCATAGCCAGAGCCATATCCACAGCCATAGCCAGAGCCATATCCACAGCCAGAGCCACAGCCAGAGCTGTAGCCACAGCCTCCACAGGAGTTTCTGTAGTAGTTGCAACACATGGCGTTAAGAGATTAGGTTTCAGTTGAGTCGGGTATTTCTGAAGTGAAGCTGTCATCCCATCTCCTCAAACCTTTATATACTTACAGGACTGGATGTCTCATGCCTCACATGGCCTCCTCTCTTTTTACAGCCCTCTTCCTGAAGTGAACTCACACTATGAACAGTCATGCTAGGAATTCACAATTTACTTCCTAGCAACTCACACAAGCATTCAAGGAAATACAGAGATATTTTTCTGAACTCTTAAACATATGCATCATAATCTATTCTTCATAATTCATTTCATAACCATGACATAAGAGAAAACATTGCCAACATATGTGGAACCTATAAAAGCGTGCTCTTCACTGTGTCATTGAAGGTCCTTGGCACCACATGCTGTATACTTACTTATAGTTAAAAGTGCCGCCAGCGGCAGCAGTAGGAGACTCACTGTGGCTTCTGCTCTCTTCCCTCATGCTTCATCCCTCCCTTCAACAGACCTCTAAATGACTTTTCATGGATTCTGGACAAAGAAGCTTACCTTAACTAGCTGCAACCACTTCTGAGACCTCTCCCTTCCCTTATACAGAAGTCTTGTTCATCTATCCTTCTGTAGGCGAGCAATGAGTATTTCTCTTTCTTCTCCCTTTTCAACACATTTTATTAAAATCCCTATGCATCAGCTTCTGAGTATATTTATCTCAAATATTTTAAAGGTGAATAGATCCAAAAGTCTCAGTGCAGAGAATTGAAAACGTCTTAGTTCAATGAGTCACTCATTCAATCAGTTTTTAGAAAAATGAAGTGGAAAATTTTTAAACAGATCAGTTTTTTTGAGATTACTCGGTCTACACTTAGAGCTGGTCAGTGTTTCAATGCTTCCTTATAAATTGTGATTTAAGTAGTAAATATTCCAGATGAGTGGAGTGCATATGTAGATGACAGATTTCAATCAAACAGTACAGAATTATAACTAGAAGCAGCATGACTTAATGTCTTGCTGCATGGAGTGGTGATTATGAGAAATAGCCATGTCATGCACTTTTAGGTATCTATAAAAGACAGTTTTGGCCAAGGGGCAGAAGCATATTTATGAAGAATACATATCATCTAGTCTCTATAAATAGCCATACCATACAGGAGATCTTTACTTTCATCTTACAACCATGTAACTAAAATTATCTTTTTTCTCACTATTTCTGTAGTGATGAGGTTCTATAAAATGACTTCTGTCTCATTCTTAGCTGTCTTAAATATCCCCGTTGGGGGCTTCACTGGAAGCGTCTTTCCCTTGTGCCTGTCTCACTTCTTTGCACACTGTAAATGTGTACTACCACAGGTTCAGCGATCGCGTGCAAATAATCACACCTCAGTATAAAAATCTTTCAATAATTCTAAGTCTAGGAAGGAGTAGTCAGAAGCCACATGTTAGACAGTCACAGAGAATTCAACACAAAATTATTATTCCGCAAAAAAGGAATTTAAATATACTATAAATATAGTAGTCTAAAAAAGCCTAACAGAAATTTTTACAGGATGAAAACCTTAGACAAAGCCTCGTTGTCATTTAGCAAGCAGACTGAAATCTGTGCTGCAGCTCACAGTACTGTACTAGGCACTTTGAAATTCACGAAGAGAGCAGCTATCATGTAAAATATTCCTGTCATGATAAAAATGCAGAATAAAGAAATTTGACAGGGATTATGTTTGATTGTGGTGTATAGATTCACATGGATAATCATAACTCTAAAGTTGGGAATTTATATGCATTGCATTCATGCACTTTTTATGAACGGTGTCTCAATAGCACTGATGAACAGATATATAAACAAACAAGCCTTGCTATGTAGTCATTAGAAAAGTGGGACTAACCTATTAGAACATAGTGATGATCTTCAGTGAGTTTTAGAAACAGACAAGGGATCAGAAAAGGCTTAGCAAGAGAAAACCACTGATAAAGGAGGAAGGGATAGACAATATTGTCATCCGGTTCCATGTCTACAGCTTGGAGGCTGTACCCACATAACAAATGGAAAAAAACAAAAATGAAAACGAGACTTGGTGGTATGAACTCACACCCCCAGTACTGGGGAACTGGAGACAGAAAGAACCTACAGGTCAGGTTCAGACAAGTCAGATGGCCCTAATCCTCCAAAAAGTGAATGGAATGTTACTAAAACTTGTCTTCTCACCTCTACATGTAGCCAACATATGTACACATGTCACGTGCAAGCACACACACACACACACAAAGAGAGAGAGAGAGAGAGAGAGAGAGAGAGAGAGAGAGAGAGAGAGAGAACAGGGGAGGGATAATATACCACCCTTCTTTCTATTTTGATGTCTTACATTTCTTTTCTATGCCCATGTGACTGAGTCACCTATTACAATATTAGTGAACAGGCACCGCCAAATTAACCATACTTTAGGAAAGGCTTCAACTTGAGCCTGACATAGCTGTCTCCTTAGAGGTCTGTCAGAGCCTGACACATACAGAAGTGGATGCTCACAGCTAACCATTGAACTGATCATGGGGTTCCCAACAGAGGAGTGAGAGAGAAGACTGAAAGAGCTGAAAGGGTTTGTAGCCCCATGGGGAGAGCAACAATACCAACCAACCAGAGCTCCCAGGGTCTAAACCACCAGCCTAGGAGCACATAGGGAGGGACCCATGGCTCCGGCTGTATATGTAGGGGAGGATGGCCTTGTTGGGTATAGGTAGGAGAGGAGATCCTTGGTCCCATGAAGGATGAACACCGAGTATGGGGGAATTCGAGGGTGGGGAAATGGGAGTGGGTGGGTGGTGGGGGCACATCCTCACAGAAGCAGGAGGAGGGGGGATGGGATAGGTGGTTCCTGGGGTGGGGGGTGGAGAATGGGGTAAGGGGCTAACATCTGAAATGTAAATAAAATATCCAATAAAAAATAAATACATAAAATGTACTATAGAAAAAAGAAAATAAAGTTAGCATCAGACATAGTATGTATGCTCGAATGTGCTCATGTAAACTGCCTACAAATAAAAACAGTAGAGGTTTGTACTGTAGATAAATATTTCCAAATGGGTTTCTATATCTAGCACTACTGTTGTGTGAGGTTTGCCCTTCATTGTATTAACTTGGTGTGTTCTGGTTTTTTACTCAAGTGTAACAATCCATCCTTCCATATCAGGGAAAATTCCACTTGTTCATGCGAAATGATTCTGATGAAATCTTGTGGATTTCAGTCTGCTAATATGCTATAGAAGACTTCCACATGTATGTGCGTCAAAATTGCTAACCTCTTATTTTGTTTGCTTACCAAACTCTGCCTTACTTTAGCTATGAAAGAAACACAAACAAATATGGGAGTGTGGAATTGTTAGAAATGGTTTTGCTCTAGACCTTTAAATAATTTATCTGGAAAAGTGGCAGTTGAGTGCTGAGCCCTCAATAAGACATCTGAATCACACACACATTCACACACACACAGACACACACACAGACACACACACACACACATTTACTTATATGTCAGGGGTCATCATCAGGAAAAGGTACATGAAATTACTATAGGATACAGAGAATGGGAAGAGTCACTACAAGCACTGTTTTCTGGATATATCATATTGTACCTGAATGATATCTCTTACCTGCTCTGATTTTGAAAGACACTATTGATAATTATTGTACATTTTTATTAAGGAATCCTTAATAAAATTTTTATTAAGTTATATGTGATATTCTTCATTGTGTTTTATATTTCTGCCTATTTTGTGTGATAATCTATTCTAGCTCTCTATTATTCACACCTGATATTCACTTTTATTACAACATTTTTTCATCTTTTTCATACATATACCTTTAGCGGATTGTTGTTAATTTTGAAGTGAGTTTCTGTTGAGCATCAAAGAGTCAAGTGCTGTCTTTTTATTCACTTAAGCATTGAGTGGTCATGATTAGATAATCCTAACCTTGTTGATTAGAGCCATGGTTATGGACATACTGATGCTATTTACTTAGGTTCTTTCTAGTTATTCACAGAAGTCTAGAAATAATAGAGGTAGGTTGTTTTGAAGCTCATCACAATGTAACATTATTCTTCATAGGTCCACAAGAACTTGGGCATTATTTTTCATGGGTTTTCAGACCACATGATCCTTACTCTGTTCTCCAGACAGTGTTTTTCGCCTACCCTTCACTTGCAGCATCATGAAATCCCTAACTAGAAGTGACTGAGAAAGATTAACCAGCTAAATGAGCTGTCTGTACACCGCCTTACATAAACTGGAGATCCAAACATTTGAATCACTTCATGACAGCAAAACACGTAGGGAAGGCTTTTTGTTTTTAATGCCCCTCTAAACATTTAAGAAACTTGTCGAATTGTGAAGGACATTTTGCTTTGAATTCCAACAATTGGTATAATTGGTCAATTCCTTCTAGTGGTACCTAATTCCATGTCATATACAAAAAAGAAGATTTTAAAATATGCAAAAAATGAAGAGGGCTTAGTCTGTGGTTAGAGACAAATGTGAATACACACTAGTCACACAGAGGGGTCATACAGAAGAGTGGCCAGTCAATTGAAATGATTGGCTGCCTAGTAGATGATACAGAGAAAACGTTCTCAATACAGAGAGATATGAAACTGGAATAAATGTAAAAAGGAAGTTTCCAGCATGCTAACGATCCAAATATGAAATGTAAATATTTAAATAAATTGATAAAATGTAGAATTTTGGGCTATTTTTTGGAAAACTCTTTTCATACAATATTTTTATCTTCTTTCCCCTCCCTTAATTGCCCTAAGCATCCTCCCTGTCTTTCTACCTCCCCAACCTTGTGTTCTTTTTCTCTTGTTCTTTAAAAAACAAAGAACAAGAAATACTACAAAAATGCTCACAAAACCAGAAACTAAAATATATAAATAAAATACAAAAACAAGCAAACAAAAAAGTTCAACAAAGGCAAAATGAGACCAAAAAAAAAGTCTACAAAAATACAATCAAGCTCATTTTATATTGGCCAACTACTCC